AAATAATATACAAAATAATATATACACTATATTCTTGAAAAAATATACAAAATAATATAAAAATAATATTCTTGAACACCCTGAGCTTTTTAATACCATGTATTTTTGGCAAGAGATTACATTAATTTTCCATTTATCTAGGGATAAGGTCATACACCTATGAACAAAGAACACAGAACTACAGAATTAAGAACTTTATTGTGACCCACAGATCTTTGAAAATAGTTACTGCTTCCCAAGTAATCAGCTGAACCCGAGCTCTCACTATAGTATGGCCAAAAAGTGTCATAAATGATAATTTCTGATGTATCTGTATATCTGTGTGTATATACACATAAAATTACACTTTTTAATGTAAATGTGTGTATACACATATACATATATATTCATACACATACAATGGAGTATAGTGTAAGAACCAATAAATTAAACTAGGGTTCAAGACAGGTGTTTAAAAAATGGGAAATTCTGTAAGACTGATTAAAGGCTTTAAAAAACCCGTGATCTCTACTGAAAACCACATTTGCTCTTCCTGCCTGCACTGATGCTAGTGGATGTCATAATTATTTTATAATCTCTGAAATATGTTCAAAGTAGACTTTTGATTTAAAATTAATCTTGCATGTAGATGAACAGCACCTACTGGGAGGCTCTTGAGAGTTCTATAAATATTATTCAAGATATTCTGTGTGGTCTACACCAAATTTTCTTGCCTTGTTACATAGACCTTGATCAAAACTAAAGCATAAAAATAGGAAGTAGGAATGTAAAAAAATTAAATCCTTTAGTTGAAACAGGTATGCCATAAAAATCCTTAGTGTTGATGCAACAATGACGAAGCCTTGTTGTCTGGGAAGATGTGTATTTTAAAGATTGAAGTACATATACTACTTGGAGAGTCAGAGGTATTCATCTGCTGTGATGATAAGAATGAAAAATTGAAACCATGTTAACAAACATAAAATGCAACTGGTAATACAAGACAATCTTCATTGCACTGCACTTCTCCAAGAACAGAAGTAAAACTGAACAATGTAGAATATCAATTAAAACATACCCATTAGGTTGCATGTGGTGTTGTATTCTACATTATCTCATACACTATTTTGCAACTTCCTTCCCAGGCTACATAATAGGCATGTTGCTTAGTCAGCGTAGTTGCTAGATTTCAGGTCTTTTTACAACTAGAACTGCTGGTTCTTAACTGAGTTAGCGCATGGATTTAATGGTAGTTTGCAATATATAGTTGCTTGTCATTTGGTGTGATCTTGCGTCAAGCTGGGGAGCTTCCTGTGTTTGTACATCTTGCCTACACTCAGTCAAACCATGAAGTAATCTGCAAATGTATGGCCAACTCATCTCTTGTCAAAAGATCTTCTGTATGCATGCAAAATCAGAAGAAACATCTTGAAAGAAGAAACTCTATTTGTAGTTTATTTACATTAAAGCTGCACAGTATAAGTTTTAAAGGTAACAATTTTTAATCAGGAAGCTAGTATCATATGGTTTTTTGTGTACTTGAAATTATCCAGTAGTAATCATCAAGATTGATAGCATAATGTTGATCATGCATTGCCATGTTGAATAGCAGAGTTCATGAGAACAATATCTCAATTGTGTGACAAATTTATATAGTCAGAGTGCCTAGACTGGGCTTTAAACTGATCGTAATTTCACTGGAATTAGTATGACTGGATTTAGAATAATTAATGGAACTACTTCTGAATTCCTATTTGAGAAACTTCAGTATTGCTAAATGGCTTTTTCATGTTGTGCTAACAGCACAGTTACTGTAAGCAACATGTAAATATTGAAAGGAAGATAATTTCTATATTATTTTTATGACTTTATCTTTTGTTCTGTGTATTTTTCCTCTCCTTGCTTGTTTTTGTTGATTGGAGGGAAAACTTTTGGGAATTTTTATTTGAAAAAAATCACTGGTGGTCTTGCCTTCCCCCCCCCCCCCCGCCCCAGTGAAAAATGTCTTAATCTTAACTCGTTCAGGAAATTACAGTTCCGAAACACTGTAATTTACAATTTGTTAAAATTTAGATTACTTGTTCTTAGCACAGAATACAAATTTGTTTGCTTTTTTTGTTTCCAGGTACAGCATTTTTGCTTACATATGTATTTAAAAACAGTCTTAGAATAATTTTTATGTATGTATTAAGTTTTGGAATCTGTCATTTCAGGCTGGATTCACGCTGTCCTCACATCTCAGGATTGTATGGCTTTTGGAGGGAACTTTTTGCACAACCTCAATATTGGCATGCAGCTCAGGTTAGTCTCAGCTCTTCCTATATACCTGTTCCTCAGTAAGTAGGATATTCTTTTAATAGATACTTTTCTTCATGCTCTTAACCAGGATCAAATCGGTACAGGCTCTCAAACAGACAATAGTGGCATTTTCAGTTAGAATGTATCAAGCACATACTCTTATTTCACTTCTGCAAAGTTTGTTTCAAAAGCAAAATGAAGGGTATGCAAGAATTTAAGTGATAAAAGAGAAAAAAAAAGAAAAACAGCTTAGTATAAGTGAGTAAAACGAAACTGAGCAAGCCCAGGTGTGCGACACTGAGTTGAAATGAACGTCCTCAAGTCAGCATTGCTCTAAGGGCAGCTGTATTTAGTTTTTGTCCAAGATGTGGAGCTGTCTTCTAAACATATTGTTTTTATTTATTACAGTGGAATCCTGATAAAATTCCATCTGTTAAAAGATCACACATTGGGTTTGTATCCTAGTTTTATGAAGTCCAACTTTATTCTTAGAAGTGCCGCAGTCAAACTTGATAAGGTCAGAGCCTGGATGAGACCAGAGTTCAATCTTGTCTGTGGTCTTGTTGGGATTTAACTATGTGGTACTTGACTTCTTTTATTTATCATGGCCATGGTTATTTTATTTTATTTTGGACATTGTGTCTATTTGAATGATTACATAGTTGAATAACAAATTCGATAATTAAAACATTCATGTTTTGTAATATTTCTGTTTATTCAGGTGTTACGAAATGGAGAAGAGGCTAAAAACCCCGGATCTTTTCAAATTTCCTTTCTTTGAAGCCATCTGTTGGTTTGTGGCCAAAAACTTACTGGAAACATTGAAAGGTAATCCTTGTTTTGTTTTAAGAGATATGCATGTATCTGCTTTTATTTTTATTTTCTCTTCATTGATAATGGAGAAAATTACACTGCTGTTGTGTGAACAGAGGAAACTTTTAAAGTCCAGTTTTCCAGCTTAATTTTTTTTTCTTAAAGTCACACTATTTTTTTAAACCAGATTTTAGTGAATGCTGCACTGTGACAGTTTTGTATCCAACAGTTATTGGTTTTAGTAAATGATCTTTCTGAAAACTACTTCAGTGATTAAAGGTTTCTAGGGTAACGTGCTGTGCAGAAATCTTAGTGCACTTGGTGATGTGTGCAACTAGCACTTTGTATCATGCTGCTGGAACCTTTGAACTATTTTATTATTGTTTTTCATCCAATGCTGATGATGTATCTGGTCAGTGAAAATATCCTAGATCATCAAGACAGAGTATCTGAGATCCTGGCACAGTGCAGTTTCACTACCAGCCAAACAGGATTAACCTGCTGTTTTCTGAAAAGGCCTTGTTAAGGGAAACAGGAAACTTATTTCAATGGCATCAGTTTTTCACTCAGGCTTTTTCCGTATCATTTAAGATCTTTGAGTACTTTTTGATAGCCTTTCTCTTCTTTCAGCAAATGACTCTCCAAATGATCCCACTACCATCTGTGGGTTTCTTCTTGGTGGCTTCACAGCTGAATGAAGAGGTTTTCTCGTACTTCTGCAATTGTCTTTGACCTTTTCAGTCAAACTACCTGTTGTCTTCTGCTCTTTGTTGTGAAGGGAAGGGTGTCTGTGAGGGCTTCTGTAAGAAAGATGTGTTAAATCATTTATATCAGTGCTTATGAACAGCCTCTTGTTCTTGACAGTTGCTGGTCCTTTCCAAACTTCCTCATCTAGTCCTGTAATTTCTATATCTGTACCCATGTATAATTGAGCTTGAGAGAGTGCCTGACTTCATCTTTTCCTCAAATATCTTGCCCTCTGCCTGCTCTATTTAATCTTAATAATAAATGTCATATTCCAAATGATGTATTTCAAAGGAGAGAAATCAACCTTCAGAGGAGGCTGCTGAATTCAGCTTCTGCTTTGGAAGAGATCAGAATCTCACGTAACCTTTTTCTAATATGAAAACAGTCATAGTTATTGAAAGAGATCTATTCTCCTTTCAGCAAATGAAGGCATTGAACAACCCTTGTTTCCTAAATCAGTGTTTAAAGTTTCTGGATAGACCTAAAGCAACTCAGAAATCTTACCATAGAACAAACTTGCAGAAAATTTTTCCTTCCAAAAAAAGAGTGTTTTCTTCTTGAAAACTTGCTTTTGTTGGTCTTAACTCCTGCATATTTAAGATTTACAAACTCAATAGAAGACACAGGAGCGTATTCCTGATGGAAAAGTGGTGGGATATATGTTTGTATATCATCTAGCTAACTATGAGTTATGTCCCGTGTCTATTCCCCCCTCTTCACCCTCCCCTTTTTATCCCATGACTCCTTGAGTACTTAGACTAGGAGCCTCTTGTGACTTGTGTCTTAGGGGAGGGGTATGAAGCTTACTGTCATGTTATTTTTAATCTATGGCTTAGCAGTTACTTTGTTGCAGAACAATGCTGTGATCTATAAACCCATCATAAAAAAAATAATTGAGGTTTCCATGGTTAGAGTGAAAATCATGTTGGGCTTTGGCATCAAGACTCATGTGAAGTAGGTGTTTGCTAGTCAGAATCCATTGCTTTATAAATAAGGGATGATACCAGTTCGGTTATGAAAAGTAATGGTGATGACCAGTGGTCGTGACTTGTAAAATGTTGAGTACGTGGTTGTTAGCAGTACTTTATGTGAAATTCAGTAAGCAAAATCAACACAATGTATCTTTCTGGTTCTTTTTATAAAACGATAACAAGGCCATAAACATTTTGATTTTGTCTTTTCATTGGCAAGAAGTATTTCATGATAAGTGTTGTAGCATTCACCTAAACTATTTTTCTTCATAGTTCTTGGGGCTTCAGAATAGGTAATTTGCTCATCTATTTGATACTCATTAATTTTGATTACTCTTACATCATGCAGTCTTTTCTATTGCAGCTAAAAAATCCAGCCTGTGGTGCTGCATTGTATTCTCAAAAATTTATCAACTGAGTCAGCTAGTGGGCAGGAAGACTTCTGCTGCAACTCAAAGGCCTGACTCTCCTTCTCCTACCCTTTAATGAGTAGGAGGCATCTTTGAGGGAAGAACAGCTGTTTAGTAACAGAACTTCCCTTTTTCTGCCAGCAGACTAACACATTATCCATAAGAATAGTGTTTTATTAGTGTATTCTTGTAAGGGAATCAAATGAGCCAAATAGTTCTAGTGTTGATCGATTTGCTATTGACAAGTGGAAATATTTGTCAGGAACATGCAGTCTACTTTGACTGGAGGATTTGTCTTTTCCCTTCTTTTTCTCCCCATGAAGGAAAAGAGAAAATTGAAAAGGAATTGCAATCACTTGGGAGCACCAGGTTTCTTAAGAAGAGCAGCTCTGTAACAGAGTGATTTCCACTCCCCACCCCCTTTGATTTTAGGAGGAAAAATGATGTTAATTTTGTGAGGGAGAACTGTGATAATTGGCAGGGTGACAGAAAATGTTCGGGGAATGGAAGTGTGCTGGTGTGAACCACTTGGTGTATGTATAGGAATAAGCAATGGGAATTCTAATTTAGAGATACATCCCACATCTTTCTGTCTCCTTTGACTAAAATATTTCTGAATGAAATAAAAGTGATTTCTTTCTTCAAATATGTTTTCTCTTGTTCTGTATTTTAGATCTGTTTTCTTCTAATTGACCTTTAGTATGTTGTAAACTATCTCTAATTTATACAGGAATAATTCAAAAAAAGATTTTATGTAGAATCAGTTTAGGGTTGAGTTGTTAGGTTTTTTTGGGTTTTTTTGTTAGTGTGCACACAAATACAGGAAGTCATGTTTCATTTGCTTCCACAATTTTTCCTTTTTTATGCTGTTGCATAATGGCAACTTTATTGGCTGAAGGGTAGGTGTCGTTCTATTCTTTTCACTGTTAGTGTGTTTCTAAATTGGTATCTGTATCCTTTTTAGAACTGAGGGAAGATGGTTTCCAGCCGCCAAGCTATTTAGTGCAAGGAGTGAAGGCTTTACTTACGGCTTTAAAATTATGGATGAAAAAAGAAGTAAGTATAAGTGATTTTGTTTGCTATTTTGGTGAGCTCTGTTTTGATTTAGAAGTGAGTGAAGGTCTGTGCCCTTTCAAAGCTTAAGATTATCTGTTAATGAGTACTGAAAGACTGTATGGAGATTATGTACTGCTGATCTGGGGAAGAATCATTGTGGCAATTTTATATTCCATGATGCTAATAGAGTCTTTTTAGACCAATTAGTAAGCTTTTGTATTGTAGCCGATAGAAGTAGAGTCTTGCATCACCTCAAGATGTGATAAGAATGCTAGCTGATAAGGTGGGACTTCTCTCTAACACATCTGTTTATATAGTTAATTCATCCTAGTCTGAGGCAATGAAGGGATGGAATGTCCTGATATTTAGCATTTTCCATTTATGTCAGTGCTTTGAAGAGCGCATTTCAGGAACACCTGTATTGCTATATATTCAGATTCAGATGAAGCTATTAACTTCAGTTGAGTACTGTCTCTGCTGAACATTGGCTGACTCCTGTAAAATCATTAATATGTTGTCTATGTTGGCTTTGCTGGTGATCTGCTCTCCAGGAAAGCTTGTTTGTTTTGGCACAGCACTGGATCTGGCCTAACTCCATGTGTTTTTTCATGTGTCTGAGCTAATAAGCCCTCTGGGAACCTGTGCTTCTGGGAAGTGCTGTTCACTGACAGGCAGTTTGATTCTGACTGAGCTTACTAATTCTAGTTTGTTGCTGGCCATGCTGACTTGAACAGGCTCTTGGAGATCTGCTTGGTCTTTCTGCCCACAAGTTATCCTTGTACGAGAACTTATTATACAATGGGTATGATATTTACACAATGCTGCATCCAACATAATGAGCTTTCTTTTTGTCAGACTGCTAGGTTATATATCTATTTGAATTTGTTAGCATATTTAAGTTGCTTGGATGGATTTTTTTTTTTTTAATAAATAATTAATCTGACACAGGTGAATTGAGAGAGCTTTGGTGTAAATTGATACCTTTTGCAGTGGCAAGCAAGTGCCAGTGGAACTTACTTTGCTCAAAGAGTTGCTACAAATCATACTGGAAAAATAATATGCTTCTGATATAAACTATGTTTGCATTAGGAAGGCTTTTCAGTATTTTTAAACCAGAGAAACTTTGAAGTCAGTGTTTTGGAGGATTGCATCAGTCACTTCCTCTTGAAGTCTTCATGGACAGGAAGACTTCTGGGAGAGTGAGGTTCTTAAGAAGAAAGGCCTGAATGGTTCTAAAATGACCAGTAACTTGCTGAAAAAATTAGTTTACTGACAGGTGCTGTGTTTCCAAGTGTGAATGTGTAGAGGTGATGCATTCAAAGAATGAACAATGGTAAATAATAGCAGCTGATTTAATCTTTCCTGTAGAATTAATGGCACTGAAATGAATGATTATATCATGGTTATACATCCATATTGGGTTTTTTTTTTGGGGGTGGAGAGAGCATTTGAAAGCCAGGTTCAATGAAATGCACATATAGTATCAAATTACTTCTAGCGATAATTTTGCTGCTGAATCTCATTTTTGAAATGTGGGTAGCCGAAAGTGTTTGTGGGATGTTTTTCAATTTAAGTAGTCGATTAAAGGGATAGCAGAATTAACGTCAATCATTCTGATCTAGCAGTCATCTGATGAGTGCTGTTTTGTCTGTTTAATTCTAACTGAAAGTGTTTTGAGGCACATTTAAACTTTACATACAAAATATTAAACCTTTTTTACTACATCTAACTGTAGAGTATTTGGACTAACTGTACATCTAACTGTAGAGTATATATATAGCTCAGATTTGAGATACATATATATGAAATCTGTCTCTGAAACTGTTTCAGGGTATTAAAGCAAGCATAAACTGTTATGGCTTCCTAAATTTTTTTATAGGGAATGATTTTTTTTTAATTGCTTTCTCCAGCCTACTAGATTCTAAATAAGCTTAAGAGCGTAATTTTTAAAAATGAAATGGGAGGCAGCTGTCTAAAAAATCTGCATGTTGGTTACTGATTGTTACTCTTGATTTGCTCTTCAGATTAAATTTTTGCCAGAGTAAAATTCCCTTAGCTTTTAGCTGTTTTGAAGGTCATTCTGAAGTGTGGTTCTATACTGACCATGCTAAAGGGAAAAAAAGAAGCTGATTACTGTACTGAGGGGAAAAAAAAAATGAAGTGGTTGTTAGTATGGCTTTGTATTACCCCTTTTTGGGATTCTTAGAGACACCAAGGGATATCTGCTGCCTTCTAAAGCTTGGACTGGAAGCTTCAGTGTGTGTGTGTGTGTGTGTATCTGTCCTGGCAGTTCGCAATCATTATTACAGAAATTAATCTGTTTTTTCCTTTTAATTTTTTTCCTTGTAGATTTGTTTATTTCGTATTACTTTGGCTTTTATCTGAAAAAATGAATTAAGTATCTTTTCTTCCCCCTTTGCATACAGCTTGTAACAGAACATGCCTTTGAAATTCCAGACAACATTAGGCCTGGGCATCTGATAAAAGAGCTCTCAAAAGTGATTCGTTCTGTAGAGGTAAGAACAGAGGCAACCCTACATAAGCCTGCATTGAAAAACCTAACTTTGAATCAGGGACTTCTGTAGTAGTTATGCTTCTGACTGACCATATTCACCTTCTGATTTATTTAACATTTCATTGAATAATAGCAGATCAAGAGGAAAGCTGTTGGCAATACTAAGTTATGGGTATATCAGATGAAGAAAACATATAGTGAGAGTGTTTTATGTATTAAAAAATATGTATATTTTAATGGTGAAATTATTTGTACATTAGTATTTCTAAAATGTTTTCATTTATAACTACTTAAAATAATTACTGTGAATTTGTTGTTAAAGAGTTTAATTTGAAATGCTGTGCATATTCCATTCTCCTACCCTCTTGTTTGTTAGTTCTGGTCCAGTTGTCATCTCTTCTGCTCTTTGTTACGTTTTGTCACTGTTGCATAGTCAGTGGGTTTTTTCTTTCTTTTTTCCCCTCCTATACCAGTGGTTTGCTAATTATTCCTTAATGAATATTGATTCTTCAAAATTTCTCACATTTGCCTGTGGAAAGAACAGTTCTGAGAACTGAAGAGAAATATAATCTGTTGAGTACAATACATGTCTACCCTATGCTGCCTTCATGAATAAAACCTTATGTTTTGGTGGTAACTTCTGGTGTTAAGCACTACTATTATGGGAGAGTATAAAAGCCTCAAATGGGAAAGAGGTGCAGTAGAACTAACTTTTGTATATCAAATCCATAGGAAATACGTAGTACTTCTCTGAAAGGTCTAACAATTTTATTTCTATAATTTACATTTAATTAGAGGAATAAGAAGCAGCACTTAAATATGTGGATTTATTCCTCTGAGACTATTCTAAAATATGTGTTTTTAATTAAAGGAGGAAAACAGCAAACTAGTTAAAACTCAGGGAATTCTTGGTGTGTGTCCGACTTCACGGTCTTTGCATGAAACAACTTCTCCTCACCACTCCAGACGAAGGGTGAGGAAACTGCGAGACCATGCTACCAAAACTCCTTCTAATCTGGACATCCTGGAACTCCACACCAGAGAGGTACTGAAAAGGCTGGAGATGTCACCGTGGGAGGAGGCAAGTATCGTTATGTGCAAGAAGAACAAAACCAGAGTAGATTTCTAATCTCTTTTGAAAGGGAAAAGTTTTTAACATGCATAAGAAGATAGGCTACTACTCTTTGTCATATCAGACATGGATAGACTGGTTTTCCATTTCTTTCGAGTTTTCCTGATAGGAATTGCAGCCTTCCAGTACTTGAAGGGGGCCTACAGGAAGGCTGGAGAGGGACTGTTTACAAAGGCATGTTGTGATAGGATGAGGGGTAATGGTTTTAAACTGAAAGAAGGTAGATTTCAATTAGAGTGGATTTATTCCTCTGAGACTATTCTAAAATATGTGTTTTTAATTAAAGGAGGAAAACAGCAAACTAGTTAAAACTCAGGGAATTCTTGGTGTGTGTCCGACTTCACGGTCTTTGCATGAAACAACTTCTCCTCACCACTCCAGACGAAGGGTGAGGAAACTGCGAGACCATGCTACCAAAACTCCTTCTAATCTGGACATCCTGGAACTCCACACCAGAGAGGTACTGAAAAGGCTGGAGATGTCACCGTGGGAGGAGGCAAGTATCGTTATGTGCAAGAAGAACAAAACCAGAGTAGATTTCTAATCTCTTTTGAAAGGGAAAAGTTTTTAACATGCATAAGAAGATAGGCTACTACTCTTTGTCATATCAGACATGGATAGACTGGTTTTCCATTTCTTTCGAGTTTTCCTGATAGGAATTGCAGCCTTCCAGTACTTGAAGGGGGCCTACAGGAAGGCTGGAGAGGGACTGTTTACAAAGGCATGTTGTGATAGGATGAGGGGTAATGGTTTTAAACTGAAAGAAGGTAGATTTCAATTAGATATAAGGAAGAAATTCTTTACTGTGAGGTTGACGAGGCACTGGAACAGGTTGCTCAGAGAAGCTGTGTGTTACAGTTTTTGAATTAGGACTGCTGCAGCTATCCATTGCTACTTAGAATCAGTTCTGTGAGGAAAAGGGAGCTTGCAAACCCTGATTTGGTGAGGCTCTGAGCCAGGCTGTTTCTCTATGTGTTTTTAGATAGCTGTTTCTCATAGTTCAGTTACTGTCATTTGATTAGCCTTGGTTTTTGGTCATGTTCCTATTTCCTGTTTGACTGTGCCTCCCTACCAGTAAGCCTAAGGCTGCCTTTGGTCTCCATTGTGGGGCTGTGGACTTTGTGGTCGTATTACAAAGGTATCATGGAGTGAATGAGTGAAATGTAGTCCCTTTAAAAATTTTTTTTTATTTTTTTTTTTCAGGTTCAATAGCCTTATTTCAAAAAAACAGCAGTAGAAATGGGAGAAGGAGTGAGAGAATGGAAATAAGTAGCTTTTTGGGAATAAGAAATGCTGACAAATTTAGTTGGGGCAGGATGGACTGTCATAGTGGAGAAATACTGATTGGGGTCCTTACATTGATCTTCATAAGACACGAACAAGAGACATTCATTTAGCCTCCGAAGTCAAGAAGCTGAACTAAATATTTACCACAAATAGTTAACCTGTGCAGTTCATTGCTATAAACAGTTTTTTAAAATAAAATGTGAAGAGTGTTAGTCATTGTCATTTAATGTAGAAATATATTGTTCACTATCAGTATTGACTTGTAAAAAAAATAATGCTGTTTTACATGTTCCTGGTTTGGCACATAAGTATATTGCCAATTGCTTCAGAGTCTGTGTCAAACATAAATTGCTTTGAGCTAAGAAAGTTCTGCTTATGGGAAGTTACTTTCCATTATTAATGTTTTGCTGTCTTACATATCAGTTCTGGATACGAATTCAAGGGATCAGATACCCAGTCCAGGAGTTGCCTTATCAGTTCCAAGCCCTGATTGCATCTTGCTTTTCTCTGTTGGTATTTCTTTGTTTTCAATACAATGATAATTCTCCAAAGGAAACACACAAGGAGTATTAATAGTGAAGTTGTAGCTCTAACAGATGCTTCAGGAGAGTATAGATGATTCAAAGAAGGAGAGGGTGCAGTCTGCTGGTTTTTTATATCCAAACATGTTTTGTCTGAGCTTTCTTCACTTGGTTGTCAGGAAGGTAACCATCCTGGCACTGAGTTTAAGCTTTTATGAAGTGCAGAAAAAACAATTGAATTTATACAAATAAATAATAAGCAACATTGCTTTTATTTCTTTAGGATACAGCAAGCTCGAAACTGAACGGGAGATTTAACAAGCCATTTCAGCCATCTTCTACAGTACCTGAATGGCGAACGAAAGACAATGATCTTCGCCTTCTGCTGTCAAATGGAAGAATAATTAGGTACAAAGGGTTGATTGTGTGTAGATCACTTGTTCCTAGTCATTATGGTCTGGAGCATGCTAATAGTTAATAACATTTCTTTTCTATTTGTGAAGCTCTAAGTTCCCTTTTACTAGTAAGATTCATGTTAGGAATATAGAAGGAATGTGTTGTCTGTTGTGTCTGCTGTCCCCTAGTGGAGCCACGGTTATGGAATGAAGAGGAGGAGATGCTTTGCATGTTCCTTTGTTTACAGCATTTCATTCAGTTGCTCAGTTGGATTTGTACTGAAGGGTATGCTTCAAAGTAGAAAGGGTTGTTCTGTATCCATCTATTAGAGTGACTCTTATTAAAAACATTCTGGTGTAAAACTTCGCATCTTTATGGAAATGACAGCTGTACAGGCAATAAAATGGAAATACATACAGTTCGGAATGAAGAGATAAGCAGAAGAGAACATCACTGTTGTATCACAAGAGCATGTTGCAAATAATGAAAGGAAAACAATTGCTTCAGGTTTGTAAGAATAACATGACTTTTTTTCTTGTGAGACAGAGATGAGAGACGCCCATTTACAGATCGAAGTCTTTACACAGCAGATAGTGAAGATGAAGATGACAGGACAAGGTCGAAAAAGACAACTGTTAAGGTAGAAGACCAGCCCTCAGGACTTGAAGGAGAAGGGAATTCAGATGCCCAGAAACCACTGAATAGTAAGCTTGTCTCTAAGTCCTATCAGTTGAACATTTTGATAATCTTGAAGGGGATCTAACTGTTGTGAAGTCTGACTGAAATTTTACCAAAGTATCAAGAGGATAAACTAATGATCAGAGTAGCAATATCAGAAGTTACAACAAAACATTTGTCAAATATTATGTGTCTACTGAAGAAGCTAACAAGGTAGAGTTGAAAAGTAAAATTCACCTTTAAACTTTACTCTAAACTATCCTTCACTAAGAGTTAATCTTTTCTGGTCTTTCTGTAGCCTCAAGCCTTCCTGCTAAGTGTTCAGCAGTGCCAATCACACAGTGTATTAGTAAAGTATCAATACTGAATGCCTATTTTCAGTGCCTGGTTTTAATAGCACTGTTATGTGTGCAGTGACAAACTGGTCCTTGACATAGCTGTTCATTTTAATTATCCTTTCACAGTAGATCTTACAAGGGCTATGGGGGTACATATTAGGAAACTGAGGTGAAAACTTAAAAGATAACGAGACTCCTCTGGAGACTTACAGTTCCCTTAGTTTCCTGCATAACAATATGTAACATTTGAGTCCATTGTCAGCCTGTATAAAATATTATTTTTATTAACAAAGCAATTTGTAATCCCTGTTGACTGTGCTTCCAGAAGGTCACAGAGGACGGTATTAAAAATTTGCACAGGAACGAGGTTCCTCTTGGGTACTTATGAACCAACAAGGCAAAGAGCTTGTTGAGTGAGGTCTTAGGCATGTGTGGTGTTTTTTCACTTTCAAAATTAAACTAAGTTAATGAAACTATAGTTGAATCAAAGATTAAAACATACAGAGGAGGTGCAGATTTTCTTCAAAATTGTTGCTCTTATTTGATACAGAATGAATATGGCAGTGTGTGTCTAAATGTAAGAAATGTACTTACAACTAGAAGTCAATGTTGAGATTGTTCTTCCAGAAACTGAGTATTCAGGACTGTCGCTGGTATTTTTAATGGAAGTAAGTCTTCAAACTTCCGTGTCAAAGATCACCTACCTGTAATTATTTTGCCCTCACTGAAGGTCTACAGAGAGAGAGAGAGAAAATGTATTCTTCTGTAGAGAATTTCATAAAAGGAACTACCTGTTTCTCTAACAGCTGCTACCTTCCATTGTTCTTACTGGGATTTAGGCCAAGAGGCCATGTCCATGGAGAGATGCCTTTAAGCAGATCAAGCTCTGTATAGCTTTGTGTGTCATGCCAAGATCCTGTCTCTAAATGATCAGCCAGTATTATCAGAGAGACAAAGATCAAGTGCTGTGCTTAACAGAGCAAGTTACTTTGGGTGGATGAAGAGAAGGTGATTTCAGAAATTTTTTGGAATTCACAGTAGCTTAGCCTGATCTTACAGATGGTGACTGCTTTCATTCACCTGATTTCTGGAATACTCCTCCCAGTCTCTGGAAGCATGCAGAGCCATAACTTTACCTGAGGGCAGACTGGTTCATTTTAAAGTAACAATAGTGATTACTAAGGTAATTCACAAAAACAACAATAAAAAAACCAAAACCCAACTTGTATATTTAGACTGAATTTTTAAAAATCTGAATCACAAATCACATTCATGGATGAAGAAATGAGGGGTCCTAATAATACATGATGTGTTGTTGTGAAGATCAGTAAATGTATCTGAAACCTGTATGTGAAAGGGAAGGGTGAGAAAACTACAGTAATCTTTTTGCACAGAGTTTGCAAAATAAAGAAGTGGTAAAAATGGACAATGGTATGGCCACATAAAGGAATATTGGCATAGCCAAACTGGATCAAACCTGAGGCTCATACAGTGTGTTATGTCATATGTGCTAGTACCCAGCCCCAGGTGAACCAGGAATGTGTCATTAATGATAGGTGGCTTTAGCCATTCAGTCTAGATCATATAGATAGTAGGCAGACAACAAATAATTTGTCCCTCTTAGTAGGGTATCATCAGTTAATCTCTGTGAGAAGGTGAGAGGGCTTCTGAAGTGTGAGGCTCTGTATTTAGCACTGCTTTTATAAATCTGTATATTTTACTAATTATTTACATGTCCAGGTTTTTTTTTTTTTCTGTCTCATGGAATCATTTGCCTTCTTATATGAAGACTCACATTTCTTCTTAATAGTTTTTTTCATTTTAATAATTAGAATTTTCCAGTTCCTTAAGACAGAAGAAAAGTTCCTGAGGAGCCTTTATGATGAAGGTTGTTTATTTTCAAATTGTGGTTCATTATTTACACATTAATTTTTGCCTAAGATCTGAAGCTCCACATGTGAGCATACTTAGATATCCTTAATTGTTCTTGCCCTTTCCTTTAAATTGTCTCTAAGTTTGGAGCACTTTTTTTTTCTTTGAAAAAGGCAGTAGTCCAAAGGAAGATTCATTTGAGCTATGTAATGGTATTATTTTCTGTATCATGCATGCAATGGCTTGTCCTAGAATCTTGTTTGCCTTTTTGAAATGAGTTGAAGACTTGAGTTATCATCAGAAATCCCTTGGGTTCTTTCGAACGACAGTAATTTAGAATATTCATTTTATTGTCATATGTTGAGCATTACTTTATTTAGCTTACCTTCATATACAGTGGTGGTGTTGCTCATTTACTGTGTTTGGATATTCCTCACAGTTCTTTCTAATACTATCTTAATTAGTCTTCTAGATTTTGGTCTCAGCTGTTCACGTTACTCACTTTCTGACAACCTATCTCATTCTTAGCTTTCTTCTGACTCTAAAAATAATTTCCAGTTATGCAGTGTTTAGAAATTAATAATATCCATTGAAATATATTTGATGCCTATTTATGAGCTTTGTCACAGTCTACAATAGGAACAAAATCCTGCTAGAATTGCAGTGTATATAGGGTTACAGGCACATCTTTTATGCTTGCATAATTAATGAGTTATGAAGAATTGCATTCTGTTTATGTGGTTTTGTATAAAACTATGCTGAAACCAAACCTACATTTTAACTTTACTTGTCTTCATTCCAGAGGTAAAGTTAAAATGTTGGTTTGGCTTCAGCATAGTTTTATATGAAACTGTAAGTACTGGAAAACTTGAAAAAAAAATGTTGCTTGCTTTATCCGCATACTCTGCATACTGTAGTCTTTCACAAATTGGTACTTAATCAAGATTTCTGCCAGCAGCCTTGACACAGGTATACAGCCCACTGACCTTGAGCCTTGGATTCTGAACACTTGCAAATGTGTTCCTACTCGTGGTTGTTTGGGACATATGCTGTCTTTTAAGAAGACATGCTTCTGAGAGCTGCTCAGCTACTTCATGTTTGAGTTCTTTCAGCGATTAAAAAAGTAAACCATGTGGACTAGGTGGATGATTTGATTGATTGCTTTGTCATATGCCAGTGTTTTTGATGTCTATTTTGACACTTCATTCTCTGATTAGTACTTTATCTTACTACTAGCAAAAAGCATATCTAAAGTTGGTATTTCCTCTCCTCCTCTTCCTTTTCATGTCTTTCTGTGATGAAAACCAGTGCAAGTATATTGTGTATCATCACAGTAATATTTTAATTGTCTTTAACAAGTCTGCAGTTTGACCCCTGATTGGCAGCTCTGTAGTAGCACAAAACAAGGAGAATATGCCGGTAAATTTTGATGTAAAAGTAAAATTGCAAGTAATGCAATGATTTTTTTTTTAACCTTTAAATTACTTACTATTCTGAGTTCCATGTTTAGCATTTCTGTGTAACTGCTTTTATTTTTAAACAAGGAAATTTCAGGTTCAAAGAGTCTAAGACAAAGTAATATTGAAGATTATTTCTAATTAACGTTTTCTGAGAGCCACTTCTCTGACTCTAGCTGATATACAAAAGCAGAAATTGCCCAAGGTGCCATCTGTGAGTGTGTGGTCTATGGGAGAGAAAAAAAAATATGCTCCTACTGCACCTGATTTCTTTTCCTCTGATTTCATCCAGCGAGCTGATTGAGGAATCTATTGGTCAACAGCAGACAACTCACTAGAGTTTTAAGCAAACTTGGCTGTGAACCAGATCAGTATGTGGATGTGTTTTTGTTTACAGACTGTTAAAAACTGAATATGTGTTCCTTGTTCTTTACTTCCAAAAGAATTGTTAAATGTTGTATGTAATAAAAGTTGGGTCTTATATTTTAATTTTTCTCTCCTCAGTGTTCTTTGAAAGTGTGAAATCAGAACTCAGGAATGGATCCTCAGAGTACTCTGATATTTCTGATTCAGAAGAATCTGAGCCTGATTGCACTACACAGGTATAGCTAGAAAAAGTCACAAAAGTGAATGAAACAATTAAATGTAATTTTGCTCACTGATTTCAAATTTATCTGGTCAAAGTTTGTGTCAAAAGAGCATTAACAAAGTACTTAATTTTTGTTGAAGTTAATATCGCAAACTTACAGTTCTTCCTCATTCTTCATTTATTCTAGTGTTGAGGAAAATGACAAGATATGATGCCTTGAGCTAAATTTTATGATCTTTCTTGTCATTGAAGTGGGGCTGGCAAAGGATGAGCCCTGCTCTGGAACGTGCAAAGTCTGAGAAAAGTTAGATCCTAGTTGTTTTGTTCATTTCTTCCATAACAAGTCTAAATTTCATCTTTAGAATTATGAGTATCTGTCACACAGTTTGATTTTAGAGCATGGTTAAATGGAAACAATCTTTTAGGCCTTCAGCTTTTTAAATAAGGTGAAGTGGCTAAATTCTACTGAGTTGTTTTAGACTATTTGAAATAAATGGGAACCCTCCATTTGAGGATCTAGACTGTAGTGATTTCTTTACAACTAAATGCAATATAAATGCATGCACACACATGTACATGTGTATATGTTTACATGCATCTATTTGTATTACAACTTTTAGTGTTTAGAACTGTACATATGTATATACAAATACTTTAATTATTTTTTCCCTTGCAAAATTGTGCTCTGACTTACTAATTACAATTTTAATTGGATAGAAATAAAATGCTAGTAGGGTGGAGTGATTACCTCAAACTTTTATTTTGTGCTTCTGGAAAACTAACGCTTTGGTCTTTCTTTCAATCATCAGCCTATTATAAGACTTTACAAGAAGTCTTCAAATTTTTTCATGGTGGTCAATATCTGTTTTTAATATTTATTGTCTTAAATCATTACCTTATCTAGATGTTGGAATAAGTGATGGAAACCTTCATGATGTGGCTTCTTCTGGTTTCCTAAACTGCATTGTCAGCAATTTTGGCTCAGCAGGTTTCCTTTTTTAAGAAACAGAATCAATAGTTATTCAGAAGTGATATATTTCATCTTCACAGGAGAATGTAGCCAGTTTTGAATGACTTTGTCATTGAGTGAAATGTTGTATATTAACACCACTTACTCTCTCAGTTCCTTTTATATCCTTCTGCTTCTTAATTTCTAATAGTATCTAGTGGAATAATGTTTCTGCTTGTTTAATTTGTCTTTTGTAATGATATATTCAAAATGAACCATCTCAGTAGCTCCTGTAAATCCTTTCTATGTTTTTATATTGCACCAAAGAAGATCTCAACAAAACACGATAATAGCTTTATTACTAACATTGAGTCATAGTTATAATTTAATTGCCCATTTGTGTCGCTTTCCAAGTGTCAAAGATTAATAAGCTGCTCTTGTGAATGAAGCTATTGTATAAAAACATCCCGTGGTGATACAATGCACTTCATTCATTCCAGTTCCGTTTTTGATGATAGGGTAGTGGTGTCAGTCTTGAAGGACTATGATTCCTCCATGTTCTCATCTTCCACTTTCAACGCTTTTATTGAATGTCATGTATATTTCTTGACTTGAAAAAAATTGGGGCGTTCTCTGTACATGTTGAAAGTCGATTAGTCTAAATTACCAAGATGGAACATATCAATTGTAGCCCCTGCTTCAGGTAAAGGCATATTGAGTCTCACATGGTTGCTCCACCTTTGAGAAGCTCCTGCCCATACAAGCTGTAATCTCAGCAGGAGCTGAAAAGACCTTTCATTCATGAAATGAGGCTGTGCCACTATAAAAGAGGCAACAGCTGCTATGTCTCTGTTCCCGCTGTGTTCTGGATTTACCTGAGAGCTTCTGTCACTCAGAAGAGAGATGCTGCTGCTGAAAGTTCTCTTTTGTGAGAGCAGGAACCAGAAACAGTTACTTGGGGCAGGATATGTCCCGTTGTATGTAATAGGCATCAGTTCTGGCTGCTGCTTGGAACCATACTTGCATATTTTTTCTCTACTTTGAATATAGAAGATAGGAATAATCAGTGCTCTCTTTAAAGATAATACAATAATTTGTGCATGGTTTAATGTGTGTAGTGATTTCTGTAAGAAAATGGATTTTGGAGATGCTTTCTGTATTGCTGGAGTGTGTACTTCTCAATGTTACAAAATTTGGATGTGTAGCATCTCAGTTGCTATATTCAAATTAACTGCATTCTGAATACTATATATATAAAAAAGTTGGACCTGGAAGCTTTTGCATTTTTTACTTAGCATAAATTAAGGTAGCATCTGTATTTAGGACGCATGGTGACCATTCTGCATACTGTTTCCTCTTGTTTCAGCAGAAGGATTCCTCCACAGAGGAGTCGGAAAGCTCAGGTGATGAAGAGAAACAGGAAGTAACATCAAATTTCAAAGAGGAATCCAAGGTCACGAGACACCTTTGTCAAAATACCCAGAAGCCATCCAGAAACGAAACTCCCAGTAAAAAGTAAGCATGTTGTAGGCATTTATTTATAAACAGTTAGACCTTTTCACACATATTTATGGGCTTTGCTTCATACCTATGTAAAAATCATTCCTTCAGAGAAATTTAGGGTTCTGTTTTGAACTGCTTAATACCCCTTTATTTTTCTAGGGAATGTCCTACCTCGACAAGTACAGAAGAAGAAGCTATTCAGGGCATGCTTTCTATGGCAGGATTGCACTATACTACATGTTTACCAGGTCATACTCAAAGCACAGACTGCACAGATAAAAGAACCTCTCTTCAGGAACACAAAAGCTACCCCAGGAGTCGGCATAAAGACAGACAGCCATCTCAGAGCTGCAAAACAACAGAATGTGGTAGGTATCTGAACTGATGACACTGCTGTGCTCTGCTCTTGGACAAACTGCTCAGAATAAGCACTTAAACTTTTAGATTTGTCACTAAGTTTTTAAGTAAGTCAGATCAGCATTTGAAAAGGTTTGTTCTTTGGTTTGGTTTTTCTATAAAATTTAAATGTTTTTTCTGAAAACTGGGACAAGCTTAGCTTGAGAGGTCATCAAAATACATCTTCTAACTATTGTCATCTAAAAGTTATGTGGCATCCTTACAAGAATGGCAAAGTTATGGCTAGATTGAAAGTGTAGTGTCCTTATTGAAAGTGTAATCTTCAGAAAAGATTGACGGAACCATCATGCTTGCAGCTTTCATGGCATGTGTGTTACTTAGATATCCATAGGAATCTGCTTGGTGATTTTTCATGTGTCTTTGGAAGGCAAATTTGGCTTTAGTCCTGTAATTCTGCTATGAATGCAGTGCATTGAAGTAGAATCTAATCTTGAAGAGGAGACTTCAGAGGTAATTTTTTTGTCAGTGGCATTTTGATGTCTGTGGAAAACATACATCTGTTAAATTCATTTTGGGAATGACAGACAGCAGAACATTAACACTAATCCCCTCAAAGGAATCAAAATCACTTCCTGGAACAGAGAGTCATTATGTTTGAAAATTCTTTTCTTGAGAGGGAAATGGAAGAGGATTATAGCTTTGCTGATGTGAAACATAGAACCCCACCAACAAATAGGGTGCTAATTCAAAGAACAAATATAGTATGTTGGGTTTTGTTTACGTGGATGACAGGAAAGCCTAATGTGATGTCATGGACTGTGTTCTGGTAACTGAAGCTGTTAAAAAACCCCACCAACCAGCCAACCAAATAAACAAAACCACCACCAAGAAAAAACCTCCAACCAGCAAACCACGCAGACACATACAGTGCTTTTCCATCTTTGTAACTTTATGAAAAACATAATATCAGGGTTTCAGAATTGTGGTGGGCCGACTCAGGCCAACAGCTATGCAACCCACACAGCCACTAGTTCTTTCCCCCCGCCCTGTGGGATAGGGGCAAGAATAGAAAGAGCAAAAGTGACAAGATTCATGGGGTGACTTAAAGACAGTGTAGTAAGTGAAGGAAAGAGGAAAAGAAACAAGCGGTGCAAAGGCAGTCACTCACCACCGTCTTCAAGCAGACTGATGCCCAGGCAGTCTCCAAGCAATGACTACCTCGGAAGTCTGCCTTTCCCCCAGCCGCTTCCTCTACCCCATTTTTTATTGCCAAGCATGACGTATGATATTAAATATCCCTTTGGCCAATTCAAGTCAGCTGTCCTGGCTGTGTCCCCTCTCAGTCTCTTGCCTCCCCCAGCCTACTTACTGCAGGGGGCAGAGTGGGGAAAGAGAAAGCAGTGACACTGTGCAAGCACCGTTCAGCAACAGCCGAAAACTTTGTTGTGTTTTTAACACTGGTTTAGCCACAAATCTAAAATACAGCTTAATACGGACTGTTAGGAAAAAAAATCTGCTCCAGCTCGACCCAGTACATGTATCAAACTCCATAGGTGAAGAAGATGAAACTCCGCTTCTTAGCTGGCAGGTTTTGCAAAACCTTTCGATCTCTCCAAATTTGAATTAAATTGATGTATTGAGATACCCTTAATTTTGCAAGTTAACTGTATTGTAAATGTGTTTTCAATCTGGACACTACTTCTCTAGGCCTGTCAGCATAGATCTTCCATACGTTGTACCTGAATAGCACATCAGTGCTTAGAAAGAATGCAGTCAATAATACCTGAAAATTAAATGTCCATCTTTGTATGAACTCCTCATGATACAAAGCCATGGTAGAAAACTGTAGTGTAAAAAGGAAAGTAAGCTGTCTTCAACATCAGTACTTTCAAATTTGGATTATTGTATTTGTCTGACCTTCTTACTGTGCTATATGGATCTGTAATTAGGTGTATTTATACTGTGAGATTGTTTTTCCTATTTAGTGTGTAGAACCAAGTAGCTCTGACAACTTTTATTTTGTATCTAGGAAATAGTTTCCGTTGTATTTTCCTTTCTTTCTTGTTTTAATTTTAAAGTCATTCAAATGTATAATTAACTTTGTATTCCTAGTTACTGATTTTAAAATTGAAGCTTGTTGAACCTCTCTTTAGGTAGGTCTGTGAAGGAAGAGGAAGGAGAGTTGGGGACTTCAGCATGGGCCAGACAACTGAATGAAGCTTCGAGGATTACCCCTCAGGTAAAGCGATATTTTAAACATTTTGAACCCACTTTTATAAGAAAAAGAGATCATGAAGTTGTAAGTACTGAAAGCATGGTGGACAGGTCTTTCCACACTGCAATTCTGATAATAGATACTTCTGCTTCTGGTAACTGTTATATTTTTGTCATGCTTTCTTTCATTATTGTGGTGGTGGCGGTGTTTTTTCTTTCAAACTCTCTCCTGTCATAGTGACTAGTATTAAGATGCTCCGGGCAGTATCTTGAAAAATAAAAAATACTTTATAAGAAAAAGTGTGAATTTACGTTCAGTCTAACTGGGGTAGCATTGTATTGTTTATTCATTGTTATTCCCAACCAGAGCATCAGAACAAATGGAACCTGTTGATAGTATTTATAGTAAAGATACTTGCTTAGGTACTGCCAAACTGATACAACCTTTCAGCAGTCAGCAGGTAGGAATATTTTTGCTTTCTGATGTCCAGGTGGAATCCAGCAAAGAATATATGAATGAAAGGTTGTATGTCTTATACTCTGAACTTTTTAGTATTTCTAAACTTGTCTATGCTAGAAGTATTAGAACAATTTAACAATTAAATAGGACAATTAAAGTTGCAAAATAACAGTGCTATTTAATAGCTGTATTTTAGCTACATGTTTTGTAGGTTTTTTTGGTAAGAATATCTAACTACATGATACTCCTTACAGTTTGTAATTGCCAGTTTAGCATTTGTTCTCTCATCAGCTGAATATTGTAAAGAAATTGCCTGTTTAGGTAGTCAATGGTTATGGTATGACTTGCTATAGTGGCAAATTTAATCAAGAGCAATTGCGTTTGTTTCGATCACTGCAAACTAAACCCAAAAAGTAGTGAAATTGAGTACACTTGTATGTGTGATTAATCTATAGGCCTTAAGTGCATATGGAAAAGCTTGCACAGAGATAATATACTGTGTTATATCTTATTTTAAGAGGTATCTTTACTAAATGATGGAATGTTGAAGTGATCAAGCACTGGTGGAACTGAAATATCATTTTCAAAGATACAGTAGTATAATTAGAAAAACTGGAGTGAACTTGTAGCCAGAAGGTATTAACTTCTACTTTTTTCTTCTCCTCATTTCCATACTAGGATCCAAGTAAAACTCAAAAATATATCAAGAAAGAGGGTGCATCAGAAGCCAGTCATAAGGTTCAGGAAAACAGAAGTATAGTCCACAACAACAGCTTGAGTTTTCAGCATAGCAAGTATACACGAGACTCCAGTCTAATTCAAGGAGAATGTCGGCTGAGTGATGGCAGCCTTAGCCCTGACAGGCCATATGGTGAAACATCCTTGTCTGTACCACTTCACCCAACAAAGAGGCCAGCATCAAATCCACCCCCTATCAGCAACCAGGCGACAAAAGGTAATGTTTATCTCTGTCCTCTTGCCAGAGTGGGGAAAAAAGGAAAAAGAAGACTAGGAAAAGGAGATTGTAAACATCAAAAAGAGCTGTTAGATGCAGAAACTGGAAAAAAAAAAAAAAAAAAAGGACAGGGTTAGACCTTGAGGAAAAAATACAAAATGGGCATCCTGTGGACACTCAGATTTTGGCACAGAATGTGTAGAGGTGGAATTAAGAGAGATCTGACTGGGTGTGTGGCCAGGTGAAACTTTCATAGTTACCGTTGCACCTCTGCAGGTGTATCTGTTTTGCATTTATTACAGGGAACAGAACCACAACTGTACTCTGAAACACTGGCCTGAATCAGTTATTGAAGTGAAGGTTTAAAAGCTGTGACGCTTCAAAAAATAGTCTGATGATCATACTATTTAATTTTTAGTTTCTAGTTTATTTTCTATAATTTACTCAAGGGAATAACTTGACCAAAATTTAGGAAGCTCAGTTTAGGTTTTTCCCCTACCACACCCACTGCCCTTCCCTAGACTGGAAATGTTTGTAAATAACATAATTGTTTTATTTATGATAATGCTAGTCAGAGCTTTTTTTTTTCTTTTTTTTTTCTTTTTTTTTTTCTTTTTTTTCCCCCTTGAAACTGATTCAGGTGAAAATTTTGCCTGCTTCAGCTTGAAAGCTGGGTTTCATCTTTGTTCTACAATGCTAAAAATTTGTTCTGAAATTCTTGATTGAAGCACTTGATTTCATTTTCTAGGCAAACGTCCAAAGAAAGGAATGGCAACTGCTAAACAACGCCTTGGGAAGATCTTGAAGCTGAACCGGAATGGCCATGCACGCTTCTTTGTTTAATGTAGCTGCTACTTCTACTACTGCTGTCTTTCCTACACAGACCAGTATTGAGGTCAACAGAGCCTGGAGCTGCTGTTATTCCTCTGCTTGAAGCAGACTTGCATGTACCATATATAAAACACTGCCTGATGAACAAAAATGAGAAAGAAAGAGAAAAAACAAAAAACAAACAAAAAAAAAAACAACCCAATGCTGCATTTTCACTGTGCCACACCTGCTCAGCAATAACCATACAGGAATGGGGAAATCTTCAGAGAGACATGGACTGTGAGAAATAGTCTCTCATCAGGGCTTGAATATCATTTGTTGCTGGTAGTTTCTGACCTAATTAATGAGGGGAAGATGATGAAGGTGGTTTATCAATAATTTATTTCTGATAGATTTTGACAACTTTTAAATTCATTTAAAAAAACTATTTATTTGGAAGACTTTTTTGTGGGGTTTATTAATTTAGATTTAAGAATGTGAAAGTTTTTAATTGTTTTGATAATGTATGTTTGGTGCAGTGGAGAGCCACATTAATTGTGATTAGTCTGGACTCCTAAATTTGATATTCAGGTTATAGTCTTAAATAGGGTTGAGATACATTATTAATTATTTTTTAAATTAAGGCATATGGAATCTTATTTTTTTTTCCTGCTTTTTGTAAGCTATTGGCTGGGCTTCTGTTGACTTGCAAGTTGCATATTCTCTGCCAGCTTGATTATTTTTTGACCTGTCCTCTTCAATACAGATTTATTTATTTGATGGACTAGAAGAGACTCCTAAAGACAGAAGGATCTTCTTATGTCAGTCCAGTAGCTAACTTGTCTTAAACTGCACCCCTTTCCTCCAAATTGGAGCGCATCCTTTTCCTCCTGATGATGTCTGATGATTTTCTTCTGTAAAAAGGCTCCCTGAAATTGCATTTGTACAGGTTATTTAAGAGTTGGTACAAAGGAGGGAAACCTTATGTATCTTTTTGGAGGAGTGGGGACATCAGTTAAGATAAATGTTTCTTCAGAACAATTACTCTGAAATAACTTCGTAAGATATACATTGCAGTCTTAAGATTTGTCATATTACTTAATGTAGCATGGAAGAAGCATTAAAATACTAATAGTGTACTTTAAACACATTTTACTGAAGAGTCAGGAAGGCAGGAGAATGTGTGTTGCTTTCAAAGCTGGGCGAGACAGCCAATTAAAACTCTTAACTGGTGCATATATAAGCATTAAGTAGCTTACTGGTATCAGAATAATCATTTGTGTCAGGCTTCATACAGAGCTGATAGCAAATGCCGATTCTGAATTATTGTAAATAATTTTGATTTTAAATTTGTATTTTTCTGTAATATAAAATTAAATATTTAACTTTTAGGGGATGGGGATGAAGGTGGAAAGGTGAATACTTTTACTTGATTCTGGAAAAAGGGCATTTTGCAGGGTCCAGCCAAAATGTAAACATTAATATGCTAGTGACAACAATATTCTTGGTTGTTCAGGCTTTTTTTTTTTTTTTTTTTTTGTTGCTAAGAGTAAAAATACTCAGGCATAGCTATCCAAGTCATTGAATTGATTTAACTTTCCATACCAGTTTTTCCTTTCTCCATATTCTATACTGGAATCGTTCTGTCTTGATGTCGTTTAAAAACAAATGCAGTTGGACTTTCCAGAATATTTGTGCAGAATTATTTTTATCTAGCCTAGATTATTAATGCCTTTACAAATTTATGGAAGTAGTTCTGATGTCAGGTGGTTTTGATTGTTGCAGGGTTAAAACTATTTAGCAGTATGTTGTCCTGTTTCTAAGTTGAGAAACATCAAAACAATGCAACTGCAAATAAGTCAGGTAGCTTTCATGGCTTTACTTCCTCTGGAGCTTGAAAATTATGATTGAGGAGTGTTTTTTTGCAGCCCTGCTTTTACATTGTATTGACTTGAGTTTATAGTTTTGTGTGCGTGTGTATGAGTGAATTTTTTTAACCTTTTTGTGGTTTGCTAATTATGGTTTCACAAAAGCATGTTTTCAGTCTTTTTTAATTTTATTTTTTTTTAATTTAATGCAAGCTCTCAACCTTGTTTAGATTATTGGGAATGGAGTTAACAAAGGATTTCTAAAAAGCAGAAGATAAGCTAAGAGGTACTTACTCTACAGGTGCTGAAAGTGACTAAAAGTACTTGCTGTTCTCAGGTGCTATGTTTTCCAGATGGAAATCGTTAAAAGACAATATTTTAACTGTCTTCTAAAATGTTCACACCAAAGTAAGTCAAAGAAATAAATTATGTTGTCAATATTAGTTAAAATTACATACTCATAAATACTCTCTGTGCTTAAGCAAATGGATTAATACCTGACAGGCTTTGGAAACTGTTTCAGCTTTAGCATATTGAACCAAACTGTTTCCTAGTTGCTGGCTGTATAGTTTTTAAGAATAGAAAATTCCAGTGTAGGGCAGCAGTCAGATTCAGAGCAGAATGAAGAATGAGCTCTCTCTCCATAAAGGCAGAGTTTTGAGAACACTTATCTGAAGTAGAAGTATGCCAGAATAGAATCTGGAGTAAGGAATTTTAAAATATGGAGTATGCTTTCTTGTACATGTGAGTGGCTTATACAAAGTCTCTTTTCTGACCATCTGCATTATTTATCTGTATCTCATTATTGGAACACAGATGTGGCTGGACCCATATATATTATTTCTTCTTGGTTTTATTCTTTCTTTACTCTACTTTCTACCTTTTATTTCAAAGTGGCTCTCCACTGAATTTATGTAATAGTCTCTTCACAGGCTGTCAACAGGCAGAGGTTCATTCCCATTTTCTTCAAATATCCATGCTTCCAGCAGAAGTTAATTCTGATGTTCCACATCAGAACAAGTAATTTAAAAGAAATTGCCATGATAAGTGGTATTTAAAAATTTTTTTTAAAAAAGAAAAAAAAAAGGAAAAAAAAAAGTCTCCTGGTAGCTCATGAAGAGGATGTGATGACCTCACTTGTTTTGTGTACTTGTATGTAGGGATATTTTTATTGTGTTCTAGATGAAAACACTACTGCACCAATCTTTCTGTAGATGGACTGAACTTTGTGTTGTTGTAGTGGACAGAAAAAGCCCTGGTTTTCCCTTGCTGTCTCACCTGGGGTGGAAGAGGGAGGGAGTAGGGAACAGTGACTGGACAACAAAGAGAATTAAGCCTGCTATGGTAACTCGTTTTCAAGGATAACCTTTTTTGAAAAGTCAGAGAACTTGGATTTGGCATAAAACTTTTTTTTTTTGTAGACAGAACAATAGGAAATGAAATACTGTAGGGGTTTTCCCATTCTCTTAAGTTCTCATGTTCCTGCAATCGAAAAAATAACAACAACAAACAAACAAACATGAAAATGGAAAGACCACCTAGAAACTATATCAAAGACTCTTCCAGCAACTTTCCCTTTTCTTCTCCTACTATACTTGCTAATAAACCCTGGCTACAGGGTAGCCTTTGTTGACCTCTGAGGTAGATGACCTATGCAACCTATAATACTCTACATTAATCCATTCTTAAAGACAATTTTGAAAGGGTTAGATGTTGAGAGTTAAAATTGTTGCTTTCTGATCACATGGGGGTTTTGTTTTTTTGGTGGTTGAAGTGCTTGTGTTGTCCTTAGTAGAGATATAAGAGAGCACAGTGTCATGATCACATTTTAGAAGCTTCAGCTTTCCCTAGGCTTTGCTATATGGCATAAACTACTGTCGTTCACAAGGCCAGGAAGTTGTAAATGTTGAAAATTTTTGCAGGGTTTCAGAGTCAGAGCTGATTTGAATCTTGTTACCCCCTTTTTGGTAATTGTGGAGACCAAGCAGAACTGAAGCTAGAACGACCTCATACTACGAGCCTCTAACTAGTGCCCTATTTAGGCTCCACATGCCCACCCATCCCTTCACACCCCCACCATGACCCCCAAATCTAGTGTCTTTCCAGAGTTTCATTCACGTAATACTTCCAGACCATTAAAAGCTGTTTGTAGCTCTGGGGTTGAGTGAGCCCAGAGATACTCTTTCACAGAAGAAATATACATGGAACCAAGGGCCTTACTATTTGTGGTTAAACAAGATTAAAAGCTGCAACATCCATTTTTCCAAAAAAAACCCAAAACAAAAAAACCCAACAAAAAGTCCACCCTAGTAACCCTCTTTGTGGGAGCGTATGAGTGATAAATCATGCAGTAGATGGGAAATATAAGTAGCACTGATAAGGAAATGCATGTTCTTCATAGGCTGCATTTCTGTTGGGAAAAAAAAACCTTTTTCTACTTTTAATATAAATTAAGCCATAAGAGTTTCATGCTGTGGGAAGGGAATGAAAGGGATCACTTTAAGAGATTATATTGATATGTATTGTCACTTCTGCTGGGAAATGTCTATTGCTGCCAATGCTTTGGTGAATCTTTTTTTTTTTTAAAACATGGAATTTGGAAAGAAAAAAAAGAAAGGGGCTAGTTCTTGGCTATATTTACTAGTTTTGTAGTAATGTTTTGCTGGTCCTCTCCTTTTTCTACTCAGTCTAATTTCTATCTTTCCTTCTAATGTCTCTGAAAATATTAGCTTGTCTGCTCAGTAGGGGTCGGTGTATGTGTGTCTTCCTTTTTACAGAAACGCACTACTGTGTTAAGTATTTGGCTGGGAAATGGGATGCTGCAGCTTTAAGAGCATTTTTTTCAATTCAGAACAGTATTTCCCATCCTCTTTTGCCTGCAGGCAGGGAAAGTGTATGTACAGTATTTATTTTGTTTCGATTTTACTTTAAATTTGTAAGTTTCTATAAGTAGTTCACATTGATTATTCTAGGGGAGGACAAGTGGCTTTGTTTAAATTTGTATTTGATATTCATAGTTTCCACTTTCTGTACTTTAAAATACTGAAATTAAAAAATTGTATTGCTTATGTTTTGATTTTAGCACTCCAAAGTGTTTAATTTCTTCAGACTTCTGCTCCTTTGCTTCAGTGTAAATACGGAAAACTGTACAGAATATCATGAACAGAAAAATGCTTTTCTAGGTTCAATCTCTATGCCCTTGTTGCGTTTTAAAGAAGTTTTCTGGAGAAATGTGAGAGGGAGTATTCTCATACTGGTTTTTTTATTTTTTCAAACTGCAAATCTAATTTCTATCCAAGTATAT